TATTTTTAAATTAATTTTTGATATTATGTTTGCCATTGTTAAAGAGACTTAAGAGGAGAAATTTTAAAAAATCTAATTTGAGAAAAATAAAAATAATATATGGGAGCGCTCTTCAAATGAACGCTCCTATAAAGTGACATATACAAGAGCTCTCTTATAGAGAGCACTCCTATATAGGTCATACGGGAGCGCTCTTGTAGAGAGCGCTCCGATATAGATCATATTAGAGCGCTCTTTATAAGAGCGCTCCAGTATGGTAGTGTGTTACGGGAGCGCTTTTCCTGTGTAGCCTACATACAGGAGCGTTTTTTTTAAGCGCTCCAGTAAATTTAGGAGCGCTCGATACAGGAGCGCTTCAAAAGCGCTCCCTAAGGTGAAAAAAAAGCACTCTTGTAAACTTATTTTGTAGTAGTGTTAATGTTATTAATCTCTGAACTTAACTTGGAAGTTACAAGGGAGTTTTGGCTATGAAATGAATAATATTTGATCATTGAACCTTTAGAGATAGATGGTTTGTAGATGAAAGATTTGAATGTTAATATGGATTTTAAAGTGTAAAGTCTTGGATTTTTTTAAAGTTTTAAATTTATTATAGTCTGTTATTAGTGGAATGATGTTGAAAAGGAATTAATGCACTAGTTAAAAGTTTAATAAAATTTAATTATGATTCATAGGATGTTTGGAAGAGGAGAAATTTGATTAAAGTTGAGAGGTAAAATTTTAATTCTGAGAATTTTAAGTAAGTATATAGCATCCAAACTAACTTTTCAATAAAAATTTCCTGTACTAAAAGATTGCATTTTTGTGTAAATTATTTTTATAACAACAATGTAGTTATTGGATAGTTTGTTGATCAAACTACTTTATTTTGTGAAATTAGCTTAATCAATTTTTAAATGTTAGTTAATCAACAAATACAAGTTTGGACTTTAATTATGAGATTTTATTTTATCATATATTAAATTGATATAGAAAATAATTTATGTGAGTTTGACATTTAAAATTAAAATTTTATTTAATAATGATTATTTTCTCGCATGTTTAAAATTGGGTTTGAAAGAGACTTTATACAGAACACTAGTTGCTAGTGGCAGTTTCGTTAGCCCTTAGCACCTTGGTCAATAACTAACTAGTTTGAATTTCGTGAACCCTGTTCTCATGTTTGTTGTTCGTTAGTCTAATACCTGCGTTTGATTTCATAGCTCCGAGCCACATTTGGTTAATATTATCCTCGTGGATTGTGTGTCTACATTTATTTTCATAGTTCAGGCTGCATTTGGTTGCTTACTATCATGGATTGTATGTTCACGTTTCTTTTTGTGGCATAAATCACATTTGGTTACTTACCCTCGTAAATTGTGTGTCCACATTTGTTACCTGTTTTGATAAGTCCTTATAATTATGAGATTTTAATTATTTAATAAATATATTTTTCATTGCTTTTGATTAGTGACATATTTATAATTATTTAATGCATTTATTTTATTGAAATTAAATGATAATGATGTTTAATATGATACTTTATGAATCAAGATTTTTTTTAAAGTTATATAGAGCCCTTTTGTGCTGAAGTTTATTAAATATTTATTTATGAAAATTGTCATCTCTAGCACGCATAATTATTTTAAACCTTCCTTTTATACATATTTAATTATTTATTATTGGGATACTATTCACTAAAAAATTATTTTGGTGTTAGATTTATTAGCTAATGCTGATCCTACTGCTGACCTCTAAAGGGCATACAACTATTCTGAGTGAAATTTTGCCTAGCATTATTTCTCTTTTAATGTAAATATTTGAACTCATGTATTTTATTTTAAAAAGTAAGGTTAGGTACTCCACGTAGCCTATAGTTAGGTTTCTATTTTGATATTTGTTATTTTCTAGTAAGAAGGAGCTGAGCTCTTGATTAATACTATTTTTTGTATAAAATATTGTGTTGTAGAATTTTCGAGAGATCCTATTTACAGGGGAGGTTTTGTCAAAATTTCTACAAAAATATTCAATCTTTTATTATAATGATTTTTATTAAGTATGTTATAATTTTTAGTACAAATTCAATTATATTTTAAAATGAAAAGATTTCTCAATTTAGGGCTTAAGGGATGTGTAATATAATTTACATCTTGTACTGGTCACCCCTATTTTTGGGGCGGGACAATTTTCTCCAAGATCATCAATAACATATTGAAATCAATAATGTCTAAACTAATCTCTCCTTTTCAAACTGCTTATGTAAAAGGAAAGCTTATCACAGATAATATCCTTTTAGTCGTAGATCTAATGCATCAAGTCCACTCAACCAAAGGTAATAGGAATAAATTAGTTGCTTGAAAGATTGACTTTGTAAAGGCTTTTCATAAAATATCTTGGTCTTTCATTAAAGTTGTCCTTGTTAAGATGAATTTTCCATTAAGGCTAATTCAATTGATTCTACAATGTATCGCCACGGTGCATTATCAAATTCTTTTTAATGGTAGAGATATACATCCAATATATCCTTTAAATGAAATTAGGCAAGGGGATCCCCTTTCCCCTACCTATACATTCTTGCTGCAAACATTTTATCTAGCCTCATCTTGAATAAGGAACAATTAGGGGCATTAAACAGTATTAAAATATGCAATAATGCAAACTCAATTACACATCTTTTATATGTAGATGACTCAACACTAGTCTTTGAATGTAACAATTCTGGTTGTACTGTGGTTAAGAAGATTTTGCACACTTGTTGCAAAGTGGTTTGGATTAGATATCAATAAGGATAAATCCATCATGGTTCTCAATCTTAATATAACTCCTGATATGAGAAATTTTATTTCATTTAAGCTTCATTATAGAATAGTAGATAAGCTTGGAAAGTATTTGGGAACTTGGATAGATGCGGGTAGAGAGAAATCTATTCTTTATGAGAATCTTCTTACATCCATTGATAAGAAAATTTCTAGTTAGAGGGCCAAGTTGCTCTCTTGAGCCTTGCACTTAACTTTAATCAAGTCTATGTTATCTGCATCAAATGTTTATCTACTATCATGCATTAAATTACCAAAGAAGACTTGCAACCTTATTGATTCCAAACTAATTAATTTTGTTTGGAGATTTGATCATGACTTGAAAAGGATGCAGTTAGTTAAGAAGGATATTCTTTTTGCTCCCATCTGTAAAGGTGGACTTGGTATTCGATCAACTCATCAGATGAATTTGGCTTTGTTAGCCAAACAAATTGGAGGACTTTATCCTATCAACTAGACTCCTTCCTTAGTAACACTCTTAGGATAAAATATATTCACTTCTCTAGTCATATTAAACTGAAAAAGCCTTATAATGCTTCACAGTTTTGGAAGCGCATCTTGGATTCTCAAGATATCATCCTTGACAATTTGAAACGGAAATAGGTTCTGGAGTTAATATTCCGATTGATCATGAGCTTTAGTGGAAACTGATTAATCACAATTTGCTTAATAGATTTGATATTAGTCGTGTGTCTAATCTCTTGATTCATAGAAATTCACATTGTTCTGCCTGTAATTGGAATAGAGACTTGATTTAGTAAATCTACAAGCCTCAGGATGCTTTGGCCATTCTCAAAACTCCTTTTTCCTTGTTTTCTCAAGATGATAAGTTGGTTTGGTCATGAAGAAATAATTGTCTTTACTTTATTAAAGATGGCTTTTCTTCAATCTGCAAGTATCAAACTTCTTTCTCAAATGAATCCTTTTGAAGTTTTCTTTAAAAATTAAGTTGCCACAAAAGCAACTTTTATTCATATGGAAGCTAATCCATTCAGCAATACCAATTGGAGATATTTTTCAAAAATATCATTTGGATGTACAATCTCAATATGTCTTTGAATGTCTTGATTCTGAATCACTGACACCTATTTGATAGTTGTAATTATACTAGACCTATACGGTTTGGTGCTTTGTTTATCCACCCCTTGGATATTGAGGCTGTTGGATTGTCTACCTGGATTGTTTCTATGTTGTTTTACTTACACAAAGATGGGTTTGATCTTCAATTAAGAGGCATTATTATACTCCTCAATTTGATTAGGCAAAAGAGGACCTTTGCTTTAATGGAATTATCCATCACCTAATCAAGTTTTACTAGAATTTCATATTCAATATCATTATCTTTTTTATATATGTCATTGATATGATTTTAGTGATAGAAGTAGTTCTTCACATAGCTTCAATCCACCTAGTTGTGCTTGGAACCATTATCCGACGATACTCCTTATTTGGAATTGGAATATTAGAATGATCAAGTTTAAAAGAGGTGGTAGTGTTTTCTATAGTACTATCTTATACATCAACTCTGAACCTATTATGAGTAGTGTCTGAAAATGCTCTTCATCTATTGAGCCAAACTCTTTTATTTTTTTTTGCCCTAGAGCCATACTTATATTGATCAAGAATTAGACACATTAAAGATTTTTTGGTTGTTGTAATTTTTTTATGATCTACCATAAAAAGAAGCTTTACAATTGTCTCTTACAAAAGCATCATTTTGTTCAACCTTTGGTGACTAACATTAGTTTGTTGCTCGAGAATTTTGGTGCTATCTGCTTTAATGTTTCCCATGATAGAACTTATTTTCTCTCCCCTTTTTATTTTATGGTTACTTAGACTTTGTATGCTATTTTCATTTTATTTACTCCTCTTGTCTTATTTATAAGTCACTTTTAACATGTTTCACCAATATTAAGTAAAACTTTAAAACTTATTAATTTTATTTTAAAATTTATTAAGTTCTCAATTTTACCCATTTTAAATATACATACTTTAATAATATTTATTTATTTTTAATATTTAATGAAAGATAAAAAAAATTTATACTAAAAATTTAATGACATGACTTATAAAAAAAATTATTATTTTTTATTTTATAAATAAAATTAGAAGGAGGAATTGATTTTTTTTTGGAGGACAAAAAAAGCTGCTGCCTCCACTTGCCGAAAAAAGAATAAAAACTAAAAAGCTCGAGCCTGACTTAAACTTTCCGCAGACTTCCAAGAAATTTCTTACTCGGGATCAAACGCGCGCTGTGCTTTTTTGCCGATCCACCACTTTTATATTCAAATCGCAATACCTCGCTCCCAGTTAGAGATTATTGCAACCATGGCGATTCAAGTGGCAGCACCAACATCCTTTGGCTTCACCAGCGATTCCAAATATAGATATGATGTTTTCCTGAGTTTCAGAGGCGAAGATACTCGCCACTCCTTCACTGTCATTCTCTACGATTCGTTGCGCCGGAAGGGAATCAATGCCTTCATCGACGACAAGAAGCTTGGCAAAGGGGAACGGATCTCACCTGCGCTACTTAAAGCCATTGAGAAATCAAGGATTTCAATTATTGTGTTCTCTACCAACTACGCTACTTCCACATGGTGCCTCGATGAACTGGCTCACATCGTTCGCTGTAAGAAGGAGAAAAACCAGGTGGTTATGCCAATATTTTACAAGGTGCATCCAATTGATGTACAATATCAAAGAAATAGCTTTGGAGAAGCCTTGGCCGATCATGAAGTCAGGTTCACAAATGACCGGCAGAAAGTGCAGAAATGGAGGTCTGCATTATTTGAAGCTGCTAGTTTGTCATTAGAATGGGTTTTCGAAGATGGGTATGTTTCCTTTTGCTATATATATATATTATATATATATATATTATTTTGTTTACTGCCTTCTACCGGAAATTTTCAAATACTTAATTAGTGGTTGCTGATGATGTAACATGCAATTCATGGTCAATCTCCATAAACTTGGGTCTTACATGTATAATTTTTTTCTGAGTATTTATTGGCTTGGAGTCTTTTAACATAATTATAAACTAGAAGGTTTTTACCATAAATATTTTTAATTTAATTTTTAACCGTAAATTTTTATTATTTTTTGCTAATGAAAATATGAAATCATAAAATAATATTTTATTTAGTAATTGCTATTAAATTATATCATCACTGGAGGATCTGTGAAATGTTGGAGACGAGCTATAGTCCTTTCAGATCCGGTATGACATTGCTATTCAGAAATCGTGTAGAAAATATTAAACAGAGTATCTATTGTTATTGAGAATTATATTCTACTTTGGAATACAAAACTATTATGGACATTCATATGAGTATAAAATCCATTAGCTAACTGATATTGAGGCTATGATCTTTGAAGGATTCAATGAGATTTTACTAGGAAGAATAATAGTAATAGAAAACAATGAGAAGAAGAAGACATTTTGCATCAATCTTCTTCGCAATAAAAAAGAGAATTTTCTTTTTTGTAGATATGAATTTGGGTTTATTGAAAGGATTGTTGAAGATGTATATGCTGTGCTTCCTCCTAAACCATTCCATAACATAGAACACATGGTTGGACTTGAGCCTCGGATAAAAGAAGTGATCTCACTTCTAAATAAATCTGACGATGGTGTTTGCATGTTGGGGATTCATGGAACTGGTGGAATTGGCAAAACAACCCTTGCAAAAGCTATCTATAATTCAATCTTCTACCAGTTTGAAGGTGCATGTTTCTTGTTTGATGTCAGAGAAGCATCAAAGAAATTCCAGGGCATTGTTTGTCTTCAACAGTTACTTCTATCAGAGATTCTTGAGGAAAAGAGGATGAAGTTTGGTAGTGCTGACGAAGGAATATCAAAAATAAAACACAGACTCTCTCATAGAAGAGTTTTGTTGGTTCTTGATGATGTTGATGAGATTGAACAGTTAGAACAACTTGCAGGGGGGTGTGATTGGTTTGGTTGTGGAAGCAAGGTCATTATAACAACAAGAAATAAGCAATTACTGATTGCTTGTAATGTTAAAAGAACATATGAATTGATGGAGCTAAATGATCATGACTCTCTTGAACTCTTCTGTCGGCATGCCTTTCATATGAGCCAACCTCCAAAAGGCTATCAAGATATGTCTAGTCATGTGATACGTTATGCACGGGGCCTTCCTTTGGCTGTGAGATTAATTGGTGCCAATTTAGCACATAAAAACTTAGAGGAATGGAGATCTACATTGGAACAATATGATCGGATCCCAGAAAGAACAATGCATGAAGTACTAAAGATAAGCTATGACTGCTTACAAGATGGTGCTAAGATTATTTTCTTGGATATTGCTTGTTTCTTTAGAGAGGAGTTATTGGATTCTATTGATGAAATAGTAGAAGCATGTGGGTATGGTGCAAGGTTTTATATTGAAGTGCTTATTGATAAATCTTTGATAACTATTACTGAAAATGGTCATTTTTGCATGCATGATCTGATAAAACAAATGGGTAGAGAGATTGTTAGGGAGGAGGCACCATCAAATCCCGGCAAACGTAGTAGATTGTGGTATTATAAAGATGTTCTTGAAGTACTACATGAAAATTCAGTAAGAACCTAACCATTGTCTGTTTCCTCATGGACATTAAATTTGCTTTGCCATTGCGCAATATCTAACAAATGTTATTTCTGTGGGTTTGCATCGTAGGGAAGTAGTAATATTGAAGGAATAGTGTTTGATCCACCTCAACAAGAAGAAGTGAACTGGAGTGGTATAGCCTTTAAGAAGATGAATAATCTTAGAATTCTTGTTGTTCGGAAGGGCGAATTTTCAACTGGCCCTAAATATCTTCCCAATAGTTTAAGATGGCTTGAATGGGAGGGATATCCTTCTACAGAACTGCCGCCAAATTTTTCTCCAAACAAACTAGTTTTATTCAAGTTATGTTGCAGTCCTTTCAGGTTGGAAGAGCCATTCAAGGTACTTTGTTCTTTACCTTTTATAATTACCTTTTTTGCTCAAACTTATTTGGCTTTCATTTTCTTCAAAGAATCAAGAATAAATTACTTCAATTATCCTTCTATTTTTCTGAACTTATATAAACCTTTCATCAAATCTGCTCAAGCCTCCTTCATTTTCCCCCTTAATCATTAAGGGTTTGATCATGACATCTGTTGCACTTAATGTTAAACAATCTGTTTTTTTTTTTTTTTTGGCAGAGGTTTGAATATTTGACATGTATGAATTTCTCACACTGTGAATTCATAACTGAAGTACCTGATATGTCTCAATTCCAAAGTTTAAGGAGATTGTTGTTTAAAGACTGCTACAACTTGATCAAAGTTCATGATTCAGTGGGATCTCTCTCCAAGCTGGTTGTATTAGATGTTGGTGGATGTGTCAAACTTACAGGCTTTCCACATGAAATCAATTTGCCATGTCTTACAGATATTGATCTGAGTCATTGCAAGAGTCTTGACTACTTCCCACATATAGTGGGAAAGATGGATGCATTAACAGATGTTTGGGCTGAAGACACTGCTATTAAGGAGCTCCCACCTTCCATTGGAAACCTTGCCGGGCTTGAATCTTTAAATTTAAGCTTCTGCCAAAGTCTCAGGCAGCTTCCAAACAGCTTATTCACGTTGCAAAATCTTAACTGGCTTGATTTGGGAGGCATTCAACCTGATAGCAGAAAATCTTTAAAGAAATTAATGCAAGAGAACCAACCAATTATTAGCTGCACAAACGTACAATTCTTGATTCTCGAAAATTGTTGTCTATTGGATGAAGATATTCACCTAACTCTGAATCTTTTCCGGAATTTGATAGAGTTAAATCTATCAGGGAATGATTTTGTGTCCCTTCCTGAGTGCCTCAAAGAGTGTCGTAAGTTGTTGAAATTGGATATGAATAACTGCAAGAGGCTAAGAGATATACCAGAGTTACCATCAAATTTGCTGTACATACAGGCAGAGAATTGCATTTCATTGACTGCAGAGTCATTAGGCCATTTATGGTCTCAGGTTTTTCTCCTACTTTTTTCTATTTTTATTTTGCTATTTTAATGATGATTGTTCAAATTAAATACAAATGTGATTGGTTTAAATTTTCTTTTGCTTGCAGATTTATATGTTGAATTTATCTGCTAACATTACACGCCACTAATTAAGTCATAGTCATATCAAGCAAGCAGTTTGCCTGTGCAAGTTAACACGTTAAAAAAAAAAAAATCTCTTTATTCTCTTCATCAATGTTTCAAAAGTTGGACCAGATGTTGAATAGGAAAGGTGAATGGGTCTTGGCTTTTATGGCTAGCCGGTTAGATCGGTGGTCAAATTGGTGATGCGATTATTAAATAAATAATAATATTAAATGCATAAAATATGTGTGTGCGGGAAATAAATCTATAGAATGTCTAGCTGTTAATAAACACAGCATGACCATAAATTAATAATATTATAAATTATAATTTGTTAAATATTGATGGATCTTGGTTAAATTAGATATGAATAGACTTAAAAATATTCACATTTACATATCTAATTGTTAACTTTTTTTTTTAAAAAATGGTCTTAAATCATATTATATATATGTGAAGGGTTTAAAAATGAAGTTGGCTTTTAGCAGGTTCTAATTTTTTATTTTTTCTATTTTTTCAAGTTTTTTGAAGTTTTTTTTAATATTATGTTTAAAATTGTCCGGTTTTCTAAAACTCGTTCCGGTTTTCGGTTCAACTCTAATTTCTGGCTCAATAGTAACTCAGTTTCAGTCTAACTCAGCTCAATCATGAAAATGGTTTTTGGTCCAAACTAAGCTTTTAACGGCTTTGGCTGATGGTTTAACTGTCTAGTTTAGTCTAGTTTTTAAAACAATGCTCTTCATATGTCATTTTTAAATTTGAAAAATTTCTTTTGCTGCTGTTGTTTTGGAAATAGGCAAAAAAGGAGTTCTTCGGCATGAGAATCATTTTGCCAGCAACACCAACATTTCCTGACTGGTTGGACAATTGGTGTGAAGGAGGGAAATTGTCTTTTCTTGCTTGTAGGAATTTCCCTCACGTGGCCTTTGCATTTGAGTTGGGGAAGGCCAACACAAGTAGGAGGAGACATTCCGTCCAGTTTTCTCTGAGCATCAATGGTCGTGTGATACAAAAGACACATGATGGTATCAAAATTGCACAAGGTCATGTGTCTTTGTTTAATCTTGGAGTTGCTTTTGAGGGAGAAGACTGGATGTGGTCTCAAAGATTTATGGATTTGGATTGGAATGATGTGGAAGTACAAGTGACTTGTTTAACTCCAGTTATGGTGCCAGTAGTTAAGTGTGGAGTTTATGTGTACAAACAACAAACAAACTCAAAGAATATCCAATTCAAGTCTCCTTTGCTTTCCATGAATGCTCCGACATCTTCACTGAAACGAAAATCAGTAGCTTCTCCTTCTAATGAGCCACCCAGCAAGTTCCTAAGAAAGTTCAAGGATGCTGATAAAGGAAAACTCGACAAGACAAATCAAGGTTCAAGGTGGGCCTCTATTTTGCTACTAATTAGGGAAAATCGCATTCAAGGACTTCACTAGCAACTTATTCACAATCAAGGACCAAATGATTCTAAAATTGCTATGCAGGATCAAAAAGGACTTAAATAAAATTAAATTATGCTTGAAAAGACTAAAATATCCTTGACAACACTTGTTTAGAAATATATATTAAGGGTAGTTTAGTCTTTTCACAGCATAATTTAATTTTATTTAAATCTCTTGGTCCTGCAGAGTAATTTCACGGATATTTAATCCTTGATCAAGAGTAAGTTGCTTGGGTGGTCATTGGATGTGATTTTCCTGAATTATGGTTTCAAGATTTTTGCTTGCTATTAATTTTTCCTCATTCGTGTGTACTGTAGGAGAAATAATAAACGACGCCAAAATTTTCATTCACGTTGCAAGAGAAGGATGGTTTTTCCAATGGGTAAGCATGTTTGGAGATTTCTTCTGTATCATTAGCTATCAAATAATTGTTAGTTTTCAATGTGATGAAGAAACATTTTTTTCTCTTGAGCATAATTATTAATTTTTTAATGTGATGAATGGTTTCGTTTTTTGTTTTTATCATTACAAGTTGGTAATATATGTTGGTCAAGAAAAAGAAAAGACAAAAGAGGAAAACATTACATGTTTAATGACTTCAGAGTGGCTAAAAGATTCTTCTAAAAGCTCACTTCTCTCTCCTTGATTCTTGGCAACTCTGTGCAAACTTTTATAATTGCTAAAATAGCTCATTATTGTAAATACTATCATTACTTGTTGTAAAATTGCTAAAATTCCTTAATGCAGGGCTTCAACATGTGAATATTTTTCTTCATTATTCAGAACACAGCTAATGTAATTAAGCTGGCCTTCTCTGATCAGCGCACACGTGAATCTTTGTAATACTTTAACGTTAAGGGGGTTATTTTCAACCCTTCTTGTATCTTTTTTTCTCACCTCTCAACTTTATTTCAACTTTATTTAAAAAGTCATTAAGTATTTTAAACTTAATTACAAGTTAATTACATCTCACAACATTAAAGATTTTATGTTTCATTACCTGACATTAAAAATCCATTAGTGGGCTTCACAATTTGCTGAGTTAGCTTTTTTCTTTTTTTCTTTTTTTAATATTTTTTATAATAAAATATTATAAAAATTGGGTCCCACATTTTTTCGCTATTTTTCTAATTCCAAGTCATCTTATCATCGTACTCTCTCTCCTCACCACTTTCACCCTCTCCCCTCTCTCTCCTTGGCCAACTATCTCTCTCCCCACACTCTGCCATGGATTGCTGTCCAAGAAAAAAAAAATGAACATATAGGGGTGTGCTTGTTTTTCTCCGCCATGGATTGCTTAAGTCACTCCCCTTCATGTGGCCAATAGTCATGCTCGCCTCTGCTAACAACCTCCTCTACAAGCTCGAACAACCTTTGGGCCAACCTATATACATATAGATAGTGGTGCACTCTGTTTATGTGTACACTCTGAAAGTGGTGCACCTTGCTTGTCCAATCGTATGCCTACCTATATCTATATATATATATATATATTAATGTTAGAAGAAACTGGTGAGGAAATTAATAATGACGTTGGGAACAATGTACACAGAGAGAGCGATCAAGTCCTTAGGGGAGAGGCCAAGGGAGGAGAATCTGGAGATGAGTTGGTTAAGGTTAGATGTGGGTATTGGAACTGAGCCATGAAGAATACCCTGCATTACACCAACAAGCATATTCTATGTGTATTCCACCTCTGTTTTATATTCAAGAAACAGAGATAAACAGAGTCAAAATATGACCCTTGAAAAAGAGGCTAACAGAGTGATAAAATAAAGGTTCCTTAACACTCTCGAAATGGCTCAAAATGGGAGGGAGGGAGTTTTCTACCACAGCAAAGTCTGATCTGGTGAACAATAGTGGCACTAGAGGCTGTAGACTTATAGTTTTCGAGCAGCATCCCTTCTCGTATAGTTGCTACAAGGACCCATACTCGTTCGCAACAGCTTGGAACCCCGACGACCATGGTTTCCATGCAAGAGAAGGCCCAAATCGAAGGCTTGCGTCACTAATCTCCCATGCTCCCTCAGGTCGGCGTAAACGACGTCGCACCAAGAGCTCCAAGATCAAGGAGGACCTCAAGAACCAGAGGATGACTCACATTGTAGTGGAGCGCAATCGACGAAGACAGATGAATGACTACCTCACGGTGATTCATTCCTTGATGCCTTTGTCTTATGTTTGGGTAATAATCGGGGAGTTTCAGAGCATTTGATCAACCGAGCTTGGAGAGAGAGGAGGGAAGTGGAGTCAGATGAGGAGGCAGAGGTGAGGTGTAAACATATATAACACGAAAATATAGTGGCTTGTAACATTATATTTTATTATTAATGGTATTGAAAAATGCCGCAGAACGTGGGCCCCACTGACAAATAATTAACATCAAGAACATAGAGGCAGTAAAATTTTAACGTTTATTGATAAAGTTAACTAATAGTTGAGTTTAAGGTGTTTATAAATCTTCCGGTAAAGTTGAGAAATAAAAATAATTTTTAATTTTTTATTTTATATTTTTTCTGTTAATGAAAGGCATTTTTAATTAAATTTTATTTTTAATAAAATAATTATTTATCTTTAAATTAATTTTATTTTTTCATATTTCTCTCTATTAAATAGAGTTTTAACTTTAAAATAAATATAAAGTAGTTTATTTAATAGAGATATTTTTTTAAAAAAATAATGATTACACTTTAAAATAATTAAAAATACTTTATATTTTTAACATTTAACTTATCAAAAAATATCTTATATTTTTGAATACAGAGAATATAATTTTATTTAACATGATCATGTGGATTACCAAACAAAAATTGTGGATTTAGATTTTAGATCACCAAGCATGAATTGAAGAATATATCTTCAAGATTGCTAGTCATTTTAGGTCACAATGATTGAAACATTTATTTAATATCAACATTGTCTAATTGCACCTTTGGGTTTTGACTAAAGATTTGTAAAATTCAACTGTAATTGAAAATTTGAATTTGATTTATTTGGTTATATGATTCTATTCTGTTTTATTTCAATAAAAATATTGATTGATTGGTTTGAAAATTATTAAACTAAATAAATTGAACTGATTAAATTATATATATATATATATATTTTATATTTTTGAAAAGGTGAATAAATTTTCATTTATGTGAGTAAGAAATATTTTTTTACCACTTGCAGTAATAGTTTTTTTTTAATGTGAGATTCTATTTTTTATTTCTATAATTTAGTTTTTAATGTAATAGTATTGAGTTTTATTAACTTTCTTATGAATTATGATATAAGATTGTTATTTTTTTTTTGGTTGGGCTTTCAACAAAAAATCAAAAAAAAATATGAATAATTAGGCTCCATAAATCCAAATCAAAGTCTATGAATTAAATAGGCCGATTGAATTGAACCATTATAATTCAATTTGGTTTTAATTTAATTTGATCAAGTATTTTGATTTGATTCGATTCAAACTTTTTGTATAATTTGATCGATCAATTCTAAAGAAATTGGGATTGAATTGATCGAATGCTCATCTCTATTTTTGACTATTGTCTTGGCATTGGTGCTTGTAACGGAGGAGGCGGAACTGCCATTGCATGCAATTTTGACCTTTTAACTTAGTTAAATTTTATTTTTTTTTTGTAATAGCACTAGGTCATTTTCATCGCACTTCGGTTTTGTTTATGGCTTCTCGCGTGCTCAAGACAGGCCTGTCTTATGGGAATGGATCAAAAACACATCTCATTCTACTTCTGACCCTCTTATGTTCATTGGAGACTTCAACCAAGTTTCCTCTCTTCATGACAAAGCGGGCCCTTCATTTCTCACTCTAGGGGCTTCCTTAGATGGCAAATTTGTTCATAAATTATAAGTTTAAGAATGTTTAAAATTTTAAATTCAATTTTTATATAATGCTTGCCTTCAACTTTTAAAAATAGTACAGTATAATAAATATTAATTTTGACCATTAATTAATATAAAAATTACATAAAAGTAATTTTTAAATAAATTAATTATCAAAGTTAATTTTTACTAACAGTAGAAGCAACATTGTAGTGTTTTTAAAAAGTAAAAGAAAAACATTATGGAATGCCTGACATTATCAACTCTACAAACATTAATGCACGTATCTCAATGCTAACATATTATTGAAGCATATTTTAGTTCATTAGATATTTTTTGAGTTGATTCCAAATTTTAGATTATGAGACACATTAATAAAAATAAAGTTTCATTGATTACTTTTATTTCAACATTACCCTTCCCTCTTTATTATATATTCTCTCCACGTTTAATGTTGCACAAATTACACACTTATTAAATAAAAGGTATTTTAAAAAAATTTATATTTCTTTTCGTCTTTATTAGAAGGCACTTTTAATCATTTTTTTGAAAGTAAGAAGAGGTAATTGAGTCATTAATTTTATCTAAAAATAGTAAAAATTCCTATTTTACTGATATATAAATGAAATATTTTCAAATTTACAGTACATTCTTTTCTTATATTTAATGAATCAAAAGAGGGGTAAAAATTAAAAAAAATATAATTAATACCTTACCAAATGCGTTATAGTAAGGATAAAAAATTTCTTCTAGTAGGCGCTATATAATAGGGAATGAAGAGATTATGTGTTTTAGAATATAAGATTATAAAGTGTATTTAATAAATTTTATTGATATATATAATTTTACTAAAAAATATCTTATAAATTGGAATGGAAATAATAATTTGCTAGTTGATCTCCTAATCATATATATTTAACGGAGTTTTTAAAAGTGAATTGTACAAGCGCCTCTATCATTGCTTTATTGAGTAACTGAATTGCATATATAAATGAAGCGTTGAATCACTATTACATGCAAACTATGCTTTTGAATTTGAATGTTCTCCATATATTCTCTCAATACATACATACATACATATTATATACAATCTCTTTTGTTTGTTTACTTGTCTATTTAGTTTAATAGTATAAGATATTTTGTTATGACATGAGATTAAATGTATTAATTATTTAATTACTATCCTAAAATTAAAAAGCATTACAATGTTTTTTAAAAAAAGTTGCCATGGAATCAAATGGACATATGAGATTGTATATGAAGATTTATTAACAAAAAGTTTGGAGAGGATCCATCGCCAACATATTTTTGTCGAGTAGCCGATTTTCTCTTTTTGGCCGATTTTTGTTGGTTAGCCGATTCGCATTTACAAAAAACAGAGTTGAATTGCTTTGTTACGTGCAAACCATACATTCCCTCTTGCGTATTCACAAGATAAGAGAGAAGAATTTTTTTTTTAATCTTATGTATAAGTTAAATCATTAATTTTTCATCACAAACCTTTTCTTAATCCTAGAATGAATATTGAACAAAGAAAATATATTGTTAACATATATGTTTAACAGAGAAAAAGTTGATAATTTATTAAATTTTTATACATAGTTAATGAGATTTAAGGTTTGTCTTGATACCAGTGAAACATACTAAAAATGACTTATAAATAAGATTAAAAAAGTATCTTTACTTCCTATGTGAGTTTTTTTAACTTGAGAAGAAATTCTAAAAGGAAAATGACAATTACAAACCCTCATAAGATTATTAATTACAATTAAAAATCTTGATTGAAATCTCAATAATAAATCATGTTCTTTAATTGAAATTAAAAACATGAGCTTACAAAATTACCATCACTTGAAAAATAAAAAAAGACATTACTGAAATCACTATGATGGATTGAAATTATTGTTAATCTTAGTTGAAAAAAATTAAAATACACAATTGAAAGTGGGTTGTTTCTCAATATAAAATTAAAATTCACTTGTGAAACTTTTAAAAGGCATTTATGAATATTTGATCCTCACTCAAAAATTTACCAAAATTACTTATAAATATGAAGCCAATCACTTGTCAATTTTTGTACTTGTTAATATATAAGTAAACTATTTGAAAAATTAAGAAAAAATACTACAAAAATTACTATTATGAGTTATAATTATTGTTAATTTCAATTGAAAAAACCAAGATCCCAAGTGCTATGCATTGAGACTATTGAAATTACTATTATGAGTTAAGATTATTGTTAATTCCATTTTTAAATGTGAACCTTGGTTTTTTCAACTGAAATTAATAATAGTCCAACCTATAATAGTAAAGATTGTGGTCTATTATTGAGATTTCAATAATTCAGGATCACCAATTGTAATTTATGATCTTATGGGTCCTTAATTGTCATTTTTCCAATTCTAAAAGACCAAATATATCTTGCTCTGTTACCAAGACGACAGGTTCCAATGGGTGAGTAAACTGACAACCAATAATCCTTCCAAGTTTCCATAACGAACCGCATTAAGTGACAGGATATATACCATTCTTTTCGTCATAAACGTAAATTACAAAATTACAACAATAACGAATTTAAATAAAACGAAACCATTCGTCTCGTTGATACATACATACATATATATATATATATATTGTATCTTTAGTTAACTAACAATTGGCTAGCAAACTGTAATTTTCGATAGCTAATAATGCAAAAATCTCCCAAAATGCTTACCCATTGGAAAAAACACCTTCCTCTTGTGACAAGAATGAAAAATTGGGTGTCGTTTGATTCTCCTACAATACATGGATAGGGAAAAAAATTAATAATTAATAACGAGCAAAAACCTTGAAATGACAATAGAAGGAGAGGCTCACCTTGTCCCTTTCATTTTGTTGCTGAGCTTTTCTTTATCATGAGCCTTTAACTTTCTCATGAGCTTCTTATTGGGTGGTTCATTAGGGGGACAAGTTATTGCTCTTCGATTCAACGAAGTTCTTGAAGCATTCAAGGAAAGCAGATGATCATCATCAGAAGACTTGAACTGCACATTATTCTCCATGTTGGTTTGCTGCTTCTCCACATAAACTCCACAGTTAACTATGGACATATTTGGTAGGAGACATGAAACTTGAATTTCCACATCACTCCAATCCAACCCCAGAAACTTATTAAGCCCCTCCAACTCTTCTGCCCCAAAATTCTGAAGTAGATCAAATATAAACATATGACCTTGTTTACCGTAGAAAACAAACACAGGACCTTCTTCACTTGGTGTCCTTTGTATTTTACGACCATTGATGCTCATAGAAATTAGGAACAGGTGTCTCCCCCTCGTGTTGACTTTCCCTGATTCAATCGCAATAACAACACGAGGGAAAATTTTCCCACAAACACGAAAAGTCAGTGTATGTCCTTTACAGAAATGGTCGAACCAGCCAGGAAATGTTGCTGGTGCTGGCATACCAATTCCCACGTTAAAACAATCTTTTGCCTGATTTGTCACAACAATTAACAGATAAGTGAGATGCCAAAGGCTTTTTCAGACTTAAAAACAACATATAATAATGAGAGACTAAATGGAGGAAAGCATGAGAAAAACCTGAGACCATAAATGGCCTAACGACTTTGTAGTTAATGATGAGCAATTCATTGCCATTATGTACCGCAAGCTTGATGGCAGCTCTGGTATGTTTCTCAGTCTCTTGCAATTTTGCAATTCTAGTCTCCACAAATAAGCACACTCTTTAATGCAATCAGGTAGCGACACAAAATCATTCCTTGATAGATTTAACTCTTTCACATTCTGAAAACATTTCATAGTAAGGCGAACATCTTCATCCCATAGACCACAATTTCTGAGATCCAAGAGCTCTAAGTTTCTGCAGCTAATAAATGATGATTGGTTCTGTTGCATCAATTTGTTGAGTGATTTTGTGCAATGAGGTTGAATGCCTCCTAACTCAAGGTCCTTGACATTTTGCAAGGTGAATAAATTGTTTGGAAGCTCCCCAAGACTTTTGTTGGAGCTTATATCTAAATATCCAAGCTGTGGAAGATTTCCAATGGAAGGAGGGAGCTCTTTAATAGCAGTGTCGGTTGCAAAAATACCTGTCACTGCATTCATCTTTCCCACTATATTTGGGAAGTAGTCAAGACTCCTACATTTGCTAAGATCAAGCACTTCAAGTGATATCATGTTGATTTCCCTTGGAAAGCTTGTAAGCTTACCGCATTCACTAACATCTAATTTAACCACCCTAGAGAGAGATCCCACTGAATCATGAACTTTGATCAGATTGCTACACCCTTGAAACAACAATCTTCTTAGACTTTGGAATTGAGACATGTCAGGTACTTCAGTTATGAATTCACAATGTGAGAAATCCATATGTGTCACATGTTCAAATTTCTGCAAAATAGAAACAAGATTATTTAAGTAACAGTAACTATATATCAACATATAATATTTTCTGAGTAAAGTATTCCATGCATTATCCCTCATTTATAATCTTACACTGACAACATTTTATTTTATAAAAACTTACAGCTTTATCCTACAACAATCTCATCTATTGAATATTTTTATCTTGTGTGTCACACATTTGTTTACGTGATACATCTTCTATGTGAAAAGATTACCATAAATTATTATAATAGATCTGAACAAACAGAAGGAAAGTTGAAGTAAACTATTCTTGATTCTTGGAAGAAAATGATGGCTATAAAGGAATTTGACAGAATAATAAAGTTAGGAGGGAAAAGACAGTACCTTAAATGGCTCTTCCAATCTGAAAAGACTTCTATATAACTTGAAGCAAACTAAATTTTGAGGAGAAAATTTTGGTGGTAAAGTCATAGAAGGATATCCCTCCCAGTCAAGTAATCTTAAACTATTGGGAAGATGTTTAGGACTTCTTAAGAATTGGGTATTTCGAACAATGAGAATCCTAAGATTATTCATCTTCTTGAAGGCTAAACCGATCCACTGCACTACTTCTCGCCGAGGTGGATTAAGTATTATTCCCTCAACATTACTACTTCCCCGTAATAAAAGTTAATAGAAGTAACATTCTCAGATGTCTCCAAATTAGAAACATGTTTGATGCATATAACTTGGAGGAAACATACAAGATATAGATTCTTACCAAATTTTTCTGCAGTACTTGAAGAACATCTTTATAATACCATAACCTACTGCGTTTACCAGGACTTGATGGTGCCTCTTGCCTCACAATCTCTCTACCCATTTGTTGTATTAGATCATGCATGTACAAGCAACCATTATCATCAATACTTATAAGAGATTTATCAACAAGAACTTCAATATAAAACCTTGCCCCATAGTCACATGCTTCTACGTCTTCAATCAGTTCTAAGCTCTCCTTTTTGAAGAAACAGGCAATATCAAGGAAAATTTGCTTAGCACCATCTTGTAAGCAATCATAGCTTATTTTCAGTACTCCATGGATTGTTCTTTCTGGGCTTCTCTCATATTGTTCCAATGTAGATCTCCATTCGTCTAAGTTTTTATGTGCCAAATTGGAGCCTATTAACTTTAAAGCCAAAGGAAGGCCATGTACATAACTTATAATACAACCAGACATATTTTCAAAGTCTATTGGAGGTTGGTTCATATGAAACGCATGCCAACAAAAGAGTTCAAGAGAGTAATGCTCATTTAGCTCCTTCATTTCATATGTCTTTTGAACACTACGCGAAATCAGCAATTGCTTATTTCTTGTTGTTATAATAACCTTGCTTCCACAACCAAACCAATCACAGCCCCCTGCAAGTTGTTCTAACTGTTCAACCTCGTCAACATCATCAAGAACCAACAAAACCTTTTTGTTAGAGAGCCTGTGTTTTATTTTAGTAATTCCTTCATCAACACTACCAAACTTCTTCATTTTTTCCTCAAGAATCTCTGATACAAGTGTTTGTTGAAGGCGAACCATGCCCTGGTATTTTCTTGACTCTTCTCTGACATCAAACAAGAAACACGCACCTTCAAATTGGAAGAAGATTGAATTGTAGACAGCTTTTGCAAGGGTTGTTTTGCCAATTCCACCGGTTCCATGGATACCCAACATGCTAATGCTATCATCAGATTCATCCAAAAGTGACATCACTTCTTCCATGCGAGGCTTTAACCCAACCATGTAATCGGTGTTATGCAACCGTTTAGGAGGTAGCATGATATATGCATGTTCAACTATCCGTTCAATAAACCCAGGTTCATATCTACAAAACATAGCAAATTCTCTTTTTACTGTACAGATCACTCACGTAATGTCCTCTTGTAAGAAAATCTTATTTGGATTCTTTCAAGATGTATAGCCTCAATATTAATTAGCTCTCTGTTTTTCGAGATATATATATATATATATATATCCATTTTCTAAACTTTTTTTTTTCCTTCCAAATTTTAAAATTTTAAAATATTTCCTGCTTAAATGATACTATTTACATCAGGCAGAAAAAAAGTAATGAAAAATCATCTTAAATATCAAGCATAAAATCACTAACAAAAGACGCTATTAACAAACCATGAAAAATATGCACTCTCTTCATTCACTATTATAAGACACTTTTTTTGAAGTATTATGTTAAAATATATAAAATATTTTAGGTCTTTTAAAATGTAATTAATACAATTTTTCAAAAATGAACTTATGATTATATTTAATAAGATTTTTTAATTGAGATAACCGATTAAATAAGAGTAAATATGAAAAAAATACATAATTTTAAATGTCATTAACTAATTTATTGGGAGATTTTATAAGTTAGTTAAAAGTGCCTCTTGATACTTAACATGAGTTTAAGTAATTAAAATTAAAAATATATACAAAAAGAGTATAATTAATTAAAGATGTTAACAATATTATTATTGGATGACTTATTCAGTAAAAAATATTAAAAAACTAACATTTAAAAAATAAATTAAAAATATTTACTCCATTGTTAAAAACCTTATCCGAAGAACCCAAATTCACAGACGTATTCACCAATGAACTACAAGAGAAGTCGTCATGGATCAAAATTCAAAACTGAAAAGTTCAAATATGTTCATAATTAATAACGCGTTATATCATCAACAACCACTGGTACTTGAAAGTTTCATCAGTAAAAGGCAATTAGAAAATAGTACAAGCAAGCCTACCCATCTTCAAAGAGCCATCCTGATGACAGACTAGCAGCTTCAGACAAAGCAGACCCTCCATTTTTGCACTTTCTCCATGTCATGTCTGAACCTATCTTCAAGAGCAGCCATGGCTTCCCCAAAGTTATTTCTCTGATACTGAACATCCAAAGGATCCACCTTGTAAAAGATGGGCATGACCACCTGGTTCCTTTCCTTCTTACACTGAATGATGTGGGAGAGTTCATCGAGGCACCACGTGGAAGTAGCATAGTTTCTAGAAAACACAACAATCGAAATCTTCGATTTCTCAATGGCTTTGAGTAGTGCAGGTGAGATTTGTTCTCCTTTTCCAAGCTTCTTGTCATCGATGAAGGCATTGATTCCCTTCCTGCGCAAAGCATCGTAGAGATGCGCGGTGATGGAGTGGCGAGTATCTTCCCCTCTGAAACTCAGGAAAACATCAAATCTATATTTGGATTCTCTGGTGAAGCCATGAGACGGTTGTGCTGTGACAATTGCCATGGCTGAGAGAAGCAGTACAAGCTGCTACCTGCTAGATATTGATATTTGATTCTGTAAGCAGAGAGAAATGTGGTTCATCAGCCTCAGCAAAGAGCAAGGCACTAGTTTAATTCCAGCTGGTGGGTGTCTTATGGCACGTGATACTTTCTTTGACTCTGCAAATGGTTCCTCGCTGCTCTCTTTGAAACTGACCCGGCAACTCCAGGTAACGAAAATAAAGGAATTTCTAAATTAATGTCTTCCATTTTAAATTGTATCATTAAAAAAAAAAAAGATGAAGAAGAATCACATTCTTCCAAATCCGAATCAAAGGGCATTATCTTCTGGATCGTCCACCTAAGAATCAAGTTCTAGGCATTAGGAATCCACGTTTTCCTGACTTTTAGATAGAAGCAAATCAACATTTGATGTAGCAAAACAAAAAACAACCAGCTGGCTGCATTATTAGTTAGTGATTACTATTAAATTGATATTAGGGAAATATTAAGCTAAAGGACAAAAAATATTTTGAAAGACCTCAAAAATTATAATTTCTTGAAAGATGAAAATATTGTATTAGCTCAGAACCAAAACTTGCATAAAATAAAGGTATAAATGTTATAAAACTGATGAAAAAAAATGAAATTTTGAGAAAGTAAAAGACGAAAACTGGGGATAATGTTTATTACTCACTTAGAATTGTCAGGTAGGTCATGGCGCTTTTAATACTTACAGACCTTCGAAACTTCAAAAATTTAAACTCAGAAGTTACAATTATACAGATAGGAAAATTAATTTACATAATTGCACAAAGTGAACCAATTAGAGGTTATAAGATTATTAACTTGGAAAAAGCATTAAAAATCCATTTAGAAGCGTGGGATATTTGTACAAGTAAACATGAAAATAAATAACATTTTCAGCAGGTTACAATCACATTTATAGCAAATTCTACAGGTTTCTGTAAGGATAAAAGATTGATGATTGCATTAATAATTCTACCAAGTTTATACATAAAGGCTAAAAGAGCAAATTTGTCCTTAAACTATAGGTCAAAGAATATTTGAGATCTTAAACTCATTTTTTAGTACAATATTCTCCTTCAACTTTTAAAAACGATACAATCCGACCTTTAATTTTGACCATTACTTGATCAGAAAATGATAAAAAAAAACTTTAAAAATTATAGAAAAGAACCAAAAAGTTATAGCAAAAGACCTAAAAATTACAGACAATGATTCAAAAATTACAAAAAAAAGGACCAAGAAAATTTTATGGACCCTTTTTCGTAATTTTGATACCCTTTTCTGTGATTTTCTGGTTAATTAACGGTCAAAGTTAATTTTTGTTAATGATAGAAGTCAAATTGCACCATTTTAAAAAGTTCATGAGAAATATTGTATTAAAAATAAACTTATGAGTCCCAAACGTTCTTAGACCTATAATTTAAGTGTCAATTTGCTCTTTTTCCCTAGAATAAATGTGCTTGACAAACGAAACATAAGATATATAATTTTTTTCATCAAAAGCATAAATTACAAGGTCACAATGATAATGCAAACGCATATTATCATTGTGAGTATATGTATAACCAATGAAATGAGTCATATACCTAGGCTTGGGAGGATGTGTGTGTGTGTGTGTGTGTAAGGTGAGAAAGCCATGGGATTATAATGAAGTCACCTAAACAAGATCCACATTCGGAGGAGGATAAGACTTAACCGAACATTCTCCATGTTTGTTTCTTGTTAATACGCACAAAATCCACAATTAACTATGGTCCAATCTGGTTAATCACGTATTGCTTCTATTTCCCTATCTTTCCAATCCCATTCCAGAAGCTTATTCAGGCTATTCCACTGTTCTTCCCCAAAGGCTTCTCTACATCAAATGTTATCACAAAATTGACCTAAAGATGGTGAAGTCGTTGTGGGGTTAAAACTGAGAATAGAAAAAAGATTACTGGAGCAAGGTAAGGGTCAGGATACTGGTGGCTTGGGTTTCAAGTGCAAAAGTTTTTCAATAAAGCTCCACTAGCTAAATCCGTGTGAATGCTTTTACAGCTGAAGAGAATTTGATTTCTCAATTGGTTCTCGAACCTAAATATCTTCATTTTTAGCAGGATGCTAACATTCAAAACCACTCATCTAAGTCCTAGATTTGGAAATCCACTATAACACTGAAAAGCTTGGACGGAGAATTGGCAATGGATTTAATATTTTATTATTGAACCATATAACGGACCACACTTAGTAGGATAATACTTCTTGTTGTTACATTAAACCACACCCTTAGTAGCCTATAGAACCAGAATGCCCTGCAATCTAATCAAGCAATGCAGTAGATTCCATTTTAAGGATTCCATTCTCGTCAGAAGGATCAACTCATTTGGCACAGCAAAACAGCAGGCGAGAGTTTATTTGGTAGCAGGTCGGGGAAGATTTGGCCTCTGCATATGCTGTATAGAATTCAATTATTCATGTGGAAAGTTCTTAAAACTGCTCTGCCCCTAACTAAAACATTAAAGGATCATCACCTGCGGCTAACTATAGTCTGTGGATTTTGCAACGATCCGTGCAAATCCAGAGAGCATCTTTGATTTATTTATTTATTTTTTTTTGGCAGTGTGGATTGGTTTATCTTTGGGTCTTGAAACAGATTTGGCTCACTGAAGATATTGCACAATGGCTTACTAATCCTTAATGGTTTCGAACTTGAGATTTCCTCTCATATCTGTAATATTTTGTACACTACTTGGTGCTTTAGAAATGATGCCATTTGCAGGGGTGTCAATGATGGCATTGAGATGCGCATTAATGTTTGGAAAGTTTCTTACAGTTCAGAAGGATAGCTATAAGATAATATTTAGCAATCTTCAATCTCCACCTCATCTACAGGCTCTAATCTGTAACTTTATGTGTCAATAGTTAAGTAATAATATTAGAGTCTCATTATTTTTAAAAAATTACAGGCTAGTATGGGTAAATAAATTGACCCAATTATTTCAAAAATTCTAACTAGTTTCTTTAATAATTGTCTCTGGGACATGAAACATAAGATTTACCATTACCGAACCCGTACACTTTTGGTTTCAGATAAAGCATAAAGCCACCAAGGTGTGATGACATGACATTCTTTCCTTCATAAACAGATATTTCCAATTCACAAATGACAATGCACATCAGAAAAATAAACAATTCGTCTCATTAAATTTACAACCAAGCATGCCTACCTATTGGAAAAACCATCTTTCTTCTGTTACACAAACGAAAAATTTGGTGTTGTTTAATTCTCCTGGACCTACAATACATGAAAGGGGAAAAAATTAATAATAACCCAAAACCATGTTACGAAAGTTAGCAGGAAGTAGAGGCTCACCTTATCCCATTCTTTGTGTTGTTGAGTTTCCTTTATTAACAGCCTTGAATTTTCTCAAGATCTTTATGGGCTGTTCATTAGGAGGAGAAGCAGTTGCTCTTCGTTTCAGTGAAGTTGAAGGAGAATTCATGGAAAGCATAGCTGACTGGAAAAGGACATTCTCCATGTTTGTTTGCTGTTTGTACACATATACTCCACAGCTAACTATGGGCATTTCTGGTGTTAACTTTATGACTTGTTTTTTCTTGTGGGGAGTTAAACATAGGACTTCTATTTCCACATCATTCCAATCCAGTTCCAGAAAACTATCAAGCCTCTCCCACTCTTCTGGCTCAAAAGCCATTTTTAGATCAAATAAAAACAGATGACCTTCCCTAGTTCCATAATTTGCAGCATTTTGTCTCCTTTGTGTTTTACGACCATTGATGCTCACGGAAACATGGACAAAGTGTTTCTCACTCGAGTTTGCTTTGCCCAACTCAAAAGCAAAGGCAGCATGAGGGAAATTCCCATGAGCACGAAAAGACAATGTCCCTCCTTTACAGAATATGTTGAACCAATCAGGAAATGTTGTCGGTGGCATAGTAATGTTCAAGTGATGGAACTCCTTTCTCGCCTGATTTACCAGAACAGAGACCAAAGGCATTTTCAAATTTGAAAACAACATATAAAAGAATAAAAAATGAATTCTCATTTTAATCCCTAGCAGATAGGAGCATTTTCTAGCTAATCATTTATAGATATTTTCAAATAACTCAATCCCCCATTCATTAAAATGTTTTTAAAACTTAATTTTAGACCTAACAGAATGCTAACATGTTCTTAACCTTCACTGATAATAAACTTCAACGATGACTTGAGTTCATGAAATAGTTCATAACTAGTGACATGCAAGCGGAAAAGTTCACCTCAGAAATCTATTGTATTATTCTGCAGATAGAGATAGAAAAAGAAAAAGGGAAAAAGGCTTCTATGAGAAAAAAAATTTAGTGATGAGAAACAATAAATATGGCTAGATAATAGAAGGATTTCTTTTGAAAAAGTTTCGGTCAATGCACAAGAAATGAAATCATGGTTGTTTGGAGAAAATAGAGAAATCCATATACCAAATTAAAATTACTAGTATCTATCTGGGATCTGACCATCAGACCAGCATTTAATTTGATTAACTTCAAAATGGGAAAAGAAAAAGTGTATAGAAAAAGGATGACAAAAACCTGAGACCATAAATGGCTTAATGACCCTGTAGATAATGATATGCAATTCTCAGCCTCTATATTTTCCAATTTTGATGGCAACTCTGGTATGTCTCTTAGCCTCTTGCAGTTATTCAATACTAGATTCCGCAGATTAGCACACTCTTTAATGCACTCAGGAAGGGACACAAAATCACTCCCTGATAAAATTAACTCTTTCACATTCCAAAAACAATTTAGAGCTAGGTGAAGATCTTCAAGCAGTAGGCAACAATTTTCGAGATTCAACATCGTCAAGTTTGAGCAGCTAACAACTGGTTGGTCCTCTTGTAATGATTTCTTCAAAGATTTTCTGCTCGGAGGTTGAATACCTCTTAAATTAAGCCAACTAAGGTTTTGCAACTTAAATAAGCTGCTTGGAAGCTCCCTAAGACTTTTGTGGGAGCTTATAACTAAAGATTCAAGCCTCGGAAGATTTCCAATGGAAGGTGGGAGCTCTTTAATTGCAGTGTCTTCTGCATAAATTGTCCTCAGTGCATCCATCTTTCCCACTATATGTGGGAAGCGGTCAAGACTCATGCAATAGCTGAGATGAAGCTTTTGAAGAGATGCCATCTTGATTTCATGTGGAAAGCTTGTAAGATTGGTGCATCTACTAAGATTTAATTCAACCAGCTTAGACAGAGATCCAACTGAGTCATGAACTTTGATTAGATTGCGACACCTTTTGAACAACAATCTTCTTAAATTTTGAAATTGAGACATATCAGGTACTTCAGTTATGAATTTACAGTGTGAGAAATTCATATACGTTACACATTCAAATCTCTGCAAAAGAAAAACGAAATTATTTAATTAACAGTAAAGTTTCTGATTAAAGAAAAGATAAGAATAGAAAACAATAACAGGAAACTTGCAGAGATCCAGGAAATATGAGAAGTTGAAGTAATGTATTCTTGATTCTTGGAAGAAAATTATAGCTAAAGATGACAAAAAAAAAATATTAATAATAGAATGGGGAAAAAAAAATTACCTTGAATGACTCTTCCAGTCTGAAAAGTCTACCAGATAATTTGATGAAAACTAGTTTTTTAGGAGAAAAATCTGGTGGCAAAGTTGTAGAAGGATATCCCGCCCAATCAAGCAATCTTAAACTACTTGGAAAATACTTTGGGCTGGTTGAAAATTGGGAATTCCGAACCACAAGAATCCTAAGATTACTCATCTTCTCAAAAGCCATACCACTCCACTCCACTTCTTCTTGTTGAGGCGGATCAAGCATTATTCCTTCAATATTACTGCTTCCCTATAATAGGAGTTCAAGGAAATAATAGTTAAATATTGCAAAATAGCACAATAGATTAATGTATATGGCTATATGAAGAAACAAACAAGGTTTAGATCCTTACTAGATTTTCACGCAATACTTCGAGAACATCTTTGCAATGCCATAATCTACTGCGTTTACAAGGATTTGATGGGGCCTCCTGCCTAACAATCTCCCTACCCATTTGCTGTATTAGATCATGCATACCCAGGTTACCACTATCAGCAACAGTTACAAGAGATTTGTCAACAAGAATTTCAATGTAAAACCTTGCACCAAAATCATAAGCTGCTAGTTTTTCTTCAACAGTTTCCAATGCCTCCTCTTTAAAGAAACAAGCAATATCTAGAAAAATACGCTTTGCACCATCTTGCAAGCAATCATAGCTTATCTTTAGTATGTCTAGAATTGTTCTTTCCATGATCCTCTCATATTGTTCTAGCGTAGACCTCCATTCCTCTAAATTCTTATGTGCCAAATTGGAGCCTACTAATTTTAAAGCCAATGGAAGGCCATTTGCATAACTTATCACACGTTTGGACATATTTTCATAGCCTTTTGGAGGCTGGATCAAATGGAATGCATGCCAACAAAACAGTTCAAGAGAGTCATGATCATCTAGCTTCTTCATTTCATATGTTTTTTCAACATTATGCACAATTAGCAACTGCTTATTTCTTGTTGTTATGATGACCTTGCTGCCACAACCAAACCAATCACACCCCCCTGCTAGTTTTTCTAACTGTTCAACCTCATCAACATCATCAAGAACCAACAGAACTCTTTTGTGAGAGAGTCTGTGTTTTATTCTAGATATTCCTTCATCAACACTGCTAAACTTTGTCTTCTTTTCCTCAAGAATCTCTGATATAAGTGCCTGTTGAAGATGAACAATGCCCTGGTATTTCTTTGATGCTTCTCTAACATCAAACAAAAAACATGCACCTTCAAATTGGTAGAAAATTGAATTATACAAAGCCTTTGCAAGGGTTGTTTTTCCAATTCCACCGGTTCCATAAATCCCCACCATACAGACGCCATTATTAGAATGATCCAAAAGAGACTTCAACCTTTCTATGCGAGGCTCAAGTCCGACCATGCACTCACGGCTATGCAAACGTTTAGGAGGTAACATAGCAAATGCGTCTTCAACAATCTTTTCAATGAACCCACATTCATATCTGCAAAAGTGTAAATTTTCTGGTTGCTATGAATAATGAATATATGATTGTTGCAAAATGGCTCTTTTTTTTTCTTTCCCATTTATCATAATTATTTCCGGTAAAACCTCATTTAAATCTTCAAAAATAACCTCAATATCAATTAACTCTCAATTTTTTTTTTGTCCCTTGACCGTATGAAAGTCTATTTTCTATTTGTAAGTACAAAATTATGAAATATCTGCAGCTATAATTGTACCGTTTAGGTACAGAAGGCAATCAGAATATAGGAGAAAAAAGCCTACTCTTCTTCCAAAAGCCATGCTGATGACAAACTAGCAGCTTCAGACAAAGCAGACCTCCATTTTTGCACTTTCTCCAAGTCCTCTCTGAACCTATCTTCCAGAGCAGCCATGGCTTCTCCAAAGCTATTTCTCTGAAATTGAACATCCAACGGATCCACATTATAAAATATTGGCATGACCATCTGTTTCTTCTCCTTCTTACACTGAATGATGTGGGAGAGTTCGTCGAGGCACCATGTGGAAGTAGCATAGTTCTTAGAGAACACAATAATCGAAATCCTCGATTTCTCAATGGCTTTAAGAAGCGCTGGTGAGATCCGCTCCCCTTTCCCAAGCTTCTTGTCGTCTATGAAGGCGTTGACTCCCTTCCGGCGTAAAGCATCGTAGAGATGCACAGTGAAGGAGTGGCGAGTATCTTCGCCTCTGAAACTTAGAAAAACATCATATCTGTACTTGGGTTTGCCGGCGAAGCCAACCGATGATGGTGCTGCCATGTGAATCGCCAATGCTGCAATAATCACAAAATGCTAGCAAGGTATTGGGATGTGAATACTCAAACCTGGGAGAGAAATTTACACGAAAGCGATGAATCAGCAAAATGCAGAGCACGCCTTTGAACCTCCACAAATAAATTTCTGGGAAGCGAGTAAAATTTCAGAATGAGTTGGTTCTTTCCCTTTGCATATGCTGGTGGAGAGGGAGAGAGCACGATTTCTTTCTTTTATTTTTTTTTAAAGAAAAAAAATCATCTCTAGTTGCGTCCTTGGATTTTTATTTATTTATTTATTTATTTTTTTAAGTGGAAGGATCATCTCTTGGTGATCGGTCAACCCACATATGAATTCAGTAACAGCTCTTGCTGTGAGTTACTAGTTCACGGGTTTGCTTTTACGATGAGTGATTTCGATTGAGTTTTAATAATATGTAAAATTTAATGTAATCATCGTTAGTTCAGACTCTTTTTTTTTTTTTTAATAGAAAAAGCATCAACAAAAGCTAACGATTAGAATTATCCCTAGAGGGCATGGTAGGCAGATCAGACACTATCACAAGTCACTTCATCTTACTCTGTATTTCCTGTAAAACTTCACCATCCTGCAAAACTTCACAGCTGCTCCCCTGAACTGCTTGAACAATTGCAAGGCAATCACTCTCGACAATCACATTCCTCATTTCCCAATTAATCCCAAGCAAGTTTGAAACCCAGAAAATTCCCCAAGTCTCTGCAGAAAAGCTAGAGCCAACATTCAAAAAACGATACAAAAAACCATGAATGAACTCGCCTCCCTAGTTTCGAATTAACCCCTCCCCAGGCACAAGCGTCAGTCGCTGTATGGAATTATAGACCCATCTACATTAAAACTTCATAATGCCGCCAATCGATGGTGGAGTCCACAGATCCTTGCACTGGGCAGTGTTTCTCCTTGGGACTAATCTCGGCTAAGCCCAGACGAGGCATGCTCAAGAACGAGCTTTATTTCTGCAGGCAAGCCGAATGTGTCTAAAGTCTAAACAAGTTTAAAGAGAAAGCCCAAAAGGCTAGCCCTTTAGAAGAGAAAGCATCCGCGCTTATAAATCACACCCCACTGAAGCTTTCTGATGTGAAACAGACTACAAAGTGTTCTAAACCATCTCCGCAATCCCAATGCTCAGTGGCGGACCTACTCACACTTGAGGTTGGGCAACTGCCCCCCTCAAATTTGTTCATGTAAATATGAATTGAGTTTTAATATGCCCCACTGATATATTAGTTTTGAACTCCCTGATCGAAAGGAGAACAAGGGACTACGAAGAAAAGAGGAAGAGAAAAATGATAGTCACCTAGGTCTAAGTGAGGAGTTGAGGTGCAAAATTTGTCAAAAGTTTAATTGAATCTAGAGCTTTAAATTTAAAATATTAGGAAGAGTGAAACTGAGAGGAAGATCATGGAAATTTAGAACGATAGATAATAATAGAGAGTTGAGATTTTACAACAATTTTAAGTAATTGTAAATGATTTTTTTATTAAAACAACTTTATTTAAACCTGTTTAATTCTTATATATATATATATATATATATTTTATGGAATCATGTATATTAGTTTATTTTTTCTAGATGCATACTAAAATTATTTATATAATTTATAATAATGTTGATCTTTACATGTCAATTTGTTATTTAACATTTTTAGCGAATTAAGTTGTTTTATGTGGTAAGGATTTCATTATTATTTAAACAAATAATTGGAGTTTGAATCTCTACTCTAATGCATATAATAAAATTTAATTTTTATGATTCTATATACTAGCAAATTAAATTTTGCTATCAATAAAATATATATTACTTTGTGTTTCACTAAAAATAATTTTGCCCCACTAGTACCAAGTCCTAAGATCTGCCAACGCCAACGTTCCATCTAACCCGAATTCTTCACATCATGAAAACCAAAGAAATGAAGAAGCCACGTACTAGGAAACTTGAGACTTGATGACAGTCTCGAAGTGCATGCATGATAGTCTCTTGGGCCTCACCACACACCACATTGGTCAACAGCTTTTCATTAACAATTCACACTAAGCCATAAGAAACGTTCTGGTGAACTTTTAGCTTCTAGAGATGCCTCCAAAAGCTTCTTGAGGTTGAAATTAAATCTCATGCCCTTTTATGCAGCTATAGACCTGGCTGATTTGAGACTGAACCTGCCTCCCCTTCCCTGGTTTATCCTAACAACAGTAACAAGTGCAATTTGGTCTATGACATACATGAGAAGGAATAAACCTTCAAAACTTCTTGTTCCAATCCCAACTCCCCGAGGCAGTGATATGGACACACTGGATCGCATCAAAGAAGCTCTCTCTCAATATAGCTTTGGGAAAATTACATCTACATTCCACAGACAAAAATGTTTCATGAAAATATCTCATGAAATTCACAAAATATACCTAAATCACAAATTCATTATTTTAATATATTTTATGTTAAATTACTAAAATATCCTTTTGTTACTTTTTTATTTTTAAAAACCTCCCCACAGCTGGTCATTGAAGTTTCACTCGACCACCACCTGATCGAAGCTCCAAGCAGGCCCCTTCAATGATAGGCTAGCCATTAAAGCCCATTGGTGGCCAAAGCTTCAACACCAACAACAAAATAATTTTAGGAAAGGTGGTATTGATAGGATTAGAACCCAAGACCACATGTTCCTAAAAAAATGTAAACCACTAGGCTATTAATCAATGATGTCAAACCTAGACCGGACCGGACGGTCCAACTAGTCCGATCGTCACCCGATGACTGAAGCGGTCTGGTTCAACCAATTGAACCACTCAAGCTATTGAATCGGATTGACCCGGAAAGAACCGTCCAGTTTTCATTGAACCGGAGTTGACCCAGAACCCGAGTCCCGTTCAACATGGGTCAATCCGGGTCAATTGAAAAAATAAAAAAGAATTACTTTAAGGCTTCTATGGTTCTACTTCTGCGCCACCGAGACCAAGTTGAAGTCTGAAGTTTGAACTCTGAAGCACAGACACTGGCTGCTCTCTCCCTCTGTCACGTCGTCTCGCCTCTCGCGCCTCTAGTAAACTCCAGACTCTATAGATGAACAAACGCGAGCTCACTCTCACCGTCTCAGATCAGGGTGATCAGTAAAGTGAGGAGGAATGATCAAATACTCTTTGTTGCTCTCTTCACCTGGTGGTCCACGAAGCACTTTCGTAGCTCGCCGACTGTCGCATTCCTCTTTGATTTATCACAACTTCGTTTTCACCACTGTGGTGCTCGGCCTCAGACTCAATCTCAAAGGCCAGAGCTCAAAACTCATTTTCCCTTAATCTGGTGAGTCTGGTCTCTCTCTCACCTTTCTCTGTTTCTCATCTTTAATGATCAACTGATCAAGCTTAAAATTCAAAATTTTGATTCATATCCTTCTCGTATCTTGCTTGCCATTCTCAGCCCAAACCCAGATTTTTCATTGCCATTGTCAGCCATTCTCGTCTCGCTTGCCACTCTGAGCTCATGCCCTTACCTCTGCCTCCACTTGAGTTGCCTCCAGCTCCTCCCAGCTCCAGCTCGTGCCTCTGCCTCTGCGTGATTCTCATTTTGCTCCAACTTGTTTGATTCTCAGTGTGCTCTGCTCTCCTTCCAGGTTCAATTTTTAGCTTATATGTTCTATCTATGTATTTAAGTTTGTAATTTATATAATGAGTAGTATGTAACTATGTATGCGCAATTCGTCCAGGACTCCAGGCAGCTTGTTTGCTTTATTTTTCATTACTTTGTTATTTATTGATATGGAATTCTAAATATGATCTAATTCTGCCTTCTTTTTCACGTTTTATCTGTGCTTTCAATTTAAATTTAGAAAATATCATCTGAACAAATATCTAGTACTACATCTACACAATCTGTTAGAGCTAAGTCAGATCTTACATGGGAGCATTGCACTGAAATGCTAAATGAAAAAGGTGGCAAGCCTCACTTAAGATTCCTAGACTGTGGAAAGGGATTTTGTGGTGGGGGAATGCACAGAATGAAACAATACCTTGCTGGAAAAAAAGGAGATGCAACTAGTTGTAAAAGTGTGCCACATGATGTTCGCTATCGATTGGAGGAAAACTTGAAAGAAATTGATCAGAAGAGACCAGTTAAAAAATTGAGAAAAGAAGAGGATAATCCATTGGAAGTGGATGATGAAATTGTGCAAGAAATAATTCTTTCAAGTTCCTCTCAACTAGCTAAAAAGAAAAAGGCATCTACAGTTGGAGACAAATTCTTTGCCCCAAGGACAAGCTCGGGAGCACAGCTAGGAATTCGAAGTGTATTTGCAGGTAAAGAAGCTATGCATAGAACGGATTTAGCTGTGGTTAGGTGGTTGTATGATTGTTGCATTCCTATGAATGCTGTAAATTCTGTTTACTATCAGCCCATGATAGATGCTATTTCAGCTATTAGCCTTGGTTATAAAGGACCAACTTACCATGTTGTGAAAACCAAATTATTACAAGACATGAAAAAGGAGGTGCAATTATTAGTTGATGAATGTAGAAGCTTTTGGGCTGAGACTAGATGTATAATAATGGCTGATGGTTGGCAAGATCAAAGAAATAGATAGTTGATTAATTTTCTTGTTTATTACCCTAGAGGAATGGTTTTCATTAAATCTGTTGATGCATCGGATATTGTTAAGGATGCTCAAAATCTTTGCAACTTATTCATGGATATGGTTGCTTTTGCTAGTGCAGACAATGTTGTCTACTTGGTAACTGATAATGCAGCTAATTATAAAGTTGTTGGAAGGTTATTAAATGATAAGTTTCCTTTTATTTTCTAGTCTCCTTGTGCTGCCCATTACTTAAATTTGATTTTATCAGATATTGGCAAAATGGAGATTATTAGTAGCTTAGCAATACTTGCATCCATGGTTTCGAAATTCATTTACAACCATGTCTTTTTGCTAGCTTGGTTAAGGAAAAGAGAAGGTTGGACAGAAATCATCCGGCCTGGTGCAACATGGTTTGCCACTACTTTCATTGCCTTGAAAAGTATCTATGAGCACAAGCATGATATTTAAGCTTTGATAACAAGCAAGATATTTGTAGAATCTAGATACTACAAGGATTCAAAGACAAAGGATGTGACAATGATTGTATTGGACAATTAGTTTTGGAATAATTGTAAAATTGTTGTTGAAATTGTAAAACCACTTGTGAGATTGTTGAGAATTGTTGATTCTGATGAGCGGCCTTCACTTGGTTATGTTTATGATGACATGTACAGAGCAAAAAGAGCTATAAAGAATACTTTCAGGCATAAAAAATCCTTGTACAAGCCTTACACAAGTATTATTAAGAGAAGGTGGGATTCTCAACTTCGACAAAATCTTCATACAGCAGCATATCTCTTTAATCCTGCTTTCCTTTATGATAAGAAAAATTTTTCTAGAAAGCCAGAGGTTATGCAAGGATATCTTAATGTGATAGATAGAAAAATTTCTTCTAATAAGACCAAGTTTTTATTAGAAGGCACACAATACCAAGAAAGGTGTGGAAGTTTTGGTCATCCATTGGTTATAGAATCTGCAAAAACCATGCGACCTGGTATACTTTTATCTTTGATATTTATTGTTTTTATCTTTAAAATATATTCTAATGACTTATTTTTTTCTCATGATAGATGAATGGTGGAAACATTTTGGGAGCAGGTGTCTAAATGCTAAAGACTTGGCCGTTAAGATATTAGGCCAAACTGCATGTTCCTTGGGCTGTGAAAGGAACTGGAGTGTCTTTGAAAGAATACACTCCAAGAAAAGGAATAAGTTGGAGCATGAAAGATTGAATGATCTTATCTATATTCATTATAATTTTCGATTAAGGAATAGGTAAATTATTCAAAATTTTGCTTTCATTTGTAGTTATAAAAAATAAGTTACATGAATCCTTATACTTTATTACTATCGTGTGTTTTCATTAGAGTTGCTAACAAGAAGAAAGCTTTGCACCCTATTGATTATGAAAGTATTGATCAGATTGGTTATTGGGTAATGGAAGAAGATGATTGTTCTTTGCTCAATATTGATGATATAGAATGAGATCTCATTTATAATGACACAATGCTACCAAAAGCTATTATTCATCAAGAGGATGAGGAAGGTTTGGTATTTTTTACTTAATGTTTTCACTTTTTTTTATCACTTATCATGTGATTCTCTCATTAATTTGATTATATACATTTGAATGTTTGTTTGTGAAGATAATGAGCAAAGAGACAACGTGGCACATGGTGAAGCTATTGGTGGACTTGATTTACAATTATTTTCTCAAGAGGATGTTGATAGCTTTAGTGAAGATGTTGATGCCTTTGAGCCTGCACATGCTTGGATTAACCAAGATCTTCCAATATTTGATAAGCCATGAAAATTTAAACTTATGAGTTATGATGTTGTGAACTTTGCAATAATATATTTGAGACATATATTTTGGATTTGTGATATCTTTGTTTGAGACTTTGAGCAATTAGAACATGTTTGAGACTATATTTTGAATTCATGATGTCATTGTTTAAGATTTTGAGCAATTAGAACATGTTATGCAATATGAATTTGTGGTGTTGCTTAATATATTATTGTTTTTTATCAAATTAATGTCTATATATATATATATAGATATATGCACATAAATATTATTTTTTATTTAATTTTTATGTCATTGGTTCGACCGCCGGTCCAACCGGTTGAACCATGAGGACTGTGACCCGCTGCTCTTTCCGGTTCGATGTCCGGTCCGGATTTCAAAACATTGCTATTAATGTATTTTGCCATACTTATATGCAAAAAATTATATATATATATATATATATAACTTGGGGAGAGATTATTAGTGAAATAAGTATTGAAATGATGAGCTAATGATTCTACTAACAGACTTCTTAGCATTTATAACAATGTGAAGTTAGAACTAGAGAATTTGACTGATCATCACAAAACTTGTGTATCGGTTAGTTAGTTAACACTCATCCAACGCTATTTCTCATGAACAAGTCGCATTAGCTGATGAAGGAAAAAAAGCTTCTCTGATAGCAATAATATCAACTACTAATTAAAACATGATTACATGATTCCATCAGTTAAAAAGAATTTAAAAAAATTGCAGTTCATTACTCTAAATCCAAAAATAACTAACAGGCAGACAACAAATAATTTGAACAACATAAAAATTTGAGATAATGGAAGTTTTAGTCCCTCAAGTTTATCTAAGCTATCAATTTAGTCTCTCAAATTTAATTTTTATTAATTTAATCATTTATATTTTTTTAAATTATCATATGAGCTCTTTAAATTTTAAAACTCTCAAATAATCTAATGTGTAAAGTATATTGATGACTTGATATCTATATATAGCGAAATAAGAATAAATTAACCTTCAAATGAGTTTAATTTTTATCAGTATAATCCTTTACAAGTATTTTGTTCTTTTGTTTTTTTAAAATTTTGAAGTCTGTTTTTTTTTATACCTAAATAATTATAATTATTTTCATTAATCTACATAATTGCCATCAATATTTTGTTATCTAAGTTAGTAAATTTTAAAAGTATAACCTTTTTTTTAAAACGATAAGGATCAAATCATTAATCAAAGCAAACTTGAGCGATTAAATTGATAGAAATTAAACTTAAGAAATTAAATTAATAATTAAAACAAATATGAGGGATTAAAAGTTGCATTATCCCTAGAAAATTCATATGTTAAGATTAAGATGAAAAAAATTGTTTTCCTTCACTAAAAGAATTGATTTATCATCACTTCATAAATATTTTAAAAGTGTGATCATATTTATTTTCCCAGAAAAAAAAAATTATAGCTACACACCTACCCATCTTGAAAAAGCCATGCCGATGACAGACTAGCAGCTTCAGACAAAGCAAACCTCCATTTGCTCACTTTATCCATGTCATGCCTGAACCTATCTTCAAGAGCAGCCATGGCTTCCCCAAAGCTATTCCTCTGATACTGAACATCCAACGGATCCACCTTGTAGAAGATAGGCATAACCATCTGGTTCTTCTCCTTACATCGAATGATGTGCGCCAGTTCATCCAAACACCAAGTGGAAGTGGCGTAGTTTCTAGAGAAGACAATAATTGAAATCCTGGATCTATCAATGGCCTTAAGAAGTGAAGGTGAGATTCGTTTCCCTTTGCCAAGCTTCTTGTCGTCAATGAAGGTGTTGATTCCCCTCCTGCGCAAGGCATCATATAGAAGCACAGTGAAGGATTGACGAGTATCTTCGCCTCTGAAACTCAAGAAAACATCATATCTGTACTTAGTTTTAGATGGGAAGCTAGAGGACGATGGTGTTGGCCCTTTGATCTCCATGGCTACGATGATCACGAGCTCTTGAAATTTGAATACTCAACTTCATTTGGACTTTGCATTGAAGTTTTACTTTCATTTTTTTTTTTCAGAAAGGAAAAAGATGTTTGCTTGTATATATGTGTTTTTTTTTTTTTTATTGCAAACTGTTGTCAGAATAATATCATTCTTTACATGCATCATTCATGGTATACGTTACGTCGTTGCCGCCATAGGAACAGGATTTTATTTATTTACTTATTTTGTGAAAAAGTTTAGATGAACTACCAGGAGGCATATTCTCAAGACTTAGAATATTTATAAGGTACTTACGTAATGATAGCAACTTTTGTTATTTACTACTCCTTCCGTTTAAAGATGTAAGATATTTTTTAAAAAATTAAGTGTTAAAAAATGTAAGATATTTTTAGCTTTTTAAAATATAATCATAAAAAAATTAATGTTTTATTCTTCCAACTTTTAATTCACTTGTAACTCAGTCCCTCAACTATGACTCACTGTGATTCAATCCCTCAACTATGACTCACCTATGACTCAGTCTCTCAACTTTTGAATCACTTACAAATTAGTCCCTTAACTTTTATTAATTTTTTTTCATGTTAGTTTATATCTCACATTAATAAGCAAGAGGAGGATATTTTAAAATGATATATTAGCATTTCTTTTATCCCTCTTATTTGATAAGAAGTTTTTTTAAAAAAATTAAAAAATAAGAACCGAGTTATAGGTGAATTAAAAGTTGAGAGATTGAGTCGCGACAAGTTATAGTTGAGAGACTGAGTTGCAGCGAGTCATAGTTGAGAGATTGAGTTACAAGTGAGTTAAGAGTTGAAGGATTAAAAGATTAATTTTTTTTATAGTCATTGTTTTTTTTTTCAAAAGTGTCCTTATTAATAAATGACTTTATATTTATTGTGCGGTGTTTAATAGAGATAAATATGAAAAAATAAGATCAATTTGAAAGTAGATAATTCCTTTATTGGGTGTAAGATTCAATTAAAAATTTCTTACATTTTTGAATAGATAAAGTATGTAGGATAAATTTGAAAAAAGAAGAGATGAAGAATATGATACTAAATGCAGTCACTTTAAAAATAGATACTTCAAAGTTTAAATACTTATTAAGAGAGATATTCATATTTAGTGCTCAACAGTACGTCAAATAGAATTACATCCAATAAAAAAAATACATATAAACAATAAAAAATGTAGAGATATTTTATTGGTACACCTATCAATTGTCAATATATTTGGCCAAAAAATGAATATTTATGTTAATGACATCAAATTATAGCAAAGTAAAAAATTCATATCATAAATTTTAATAATTTAATTAATCCAAAAAATGTAAATTTTTCTAGAAGAACATGTTAACAATAATGTCTTAAATTTTGAATAAGTGATTTTATAAATATCAAGTACATACCATTCAATATATCTTACAATTTTTGTTCAAATGTAAAATATATCCTATAACAATTATATCTTTAAGAATTTAAATATTTGTACTATACATGTATTAAAATTTTATAATGTGTTAATTTAAGGGAAATAAAATAAATAACCTATGCATTTTTTCTAAGAAAACCTAAAAAAATTAGAGCCTAATCTCCCATGCATGTCTCCAACTTGCAAGTGGTTGATGACACACCATATGTTGTCCTTTCCTTTATTTCGCCCCCCATATACCTAATTAATGCTGATAGAAAATTAAAAATATGTTGCACATCGTCGTAAATGTGATCGCATCTATACAATATCCCAGAATTAATTAGTGTGATGATGAAACAAGGAAACCGGGCTTCCTTGATTCCAGGGCCATTTTCATCTTCAACTTGGGCTTTCAATCCTTTGCATTAAATCTTGAACTCGGATCTTCTACCAAGTTAATACATCAAAGTCATGCTTAAATTGATTTGGGCTTCTTTTCCATCATGTGGCTTTAGATGACTTGACTTTAGAATGAATGACTTGTCCATGTCAGCTAAGATTCGCATGCCATGTAGTATGCCAATTGGGTTAGCATGCATATGGTATACTTAAGCAACCATATTAGTTTATTTAAGTGTGAGTAGACTTAAATCAATATAAAAAGTTTTATATTAAATAAATTTAGGTTTAATAACTAATATAAAATAAAAAAATAATATATAAACTTAAGCCCTAATGCTTTAAACAATGATTAAAAAATCAAACCGAACTAGATGGTCAGATAGGTTGAAACGTCAATCGATTTGAATTTTGGCTCAGTCAACATGAAACAATTATTTGGAGGTTGGGCCACTTTAAACCGACGGTCAGACAAGAAATCGGGATCAAGGCGAGAACCAGATTCGATTTTTAAAAATCAAACTGTTCAAAAAAAAACCATTTTTCTTCTTTTTTTTCATTTTTGATCAATTTTGTTTTTACAAAATGATCAATTTTCTTAATCATTTCATGATATGTTACATGACGTGGCTTATTAAGTCATGATAAATTTAAAGTATTTGGCTTTATTTTTTAAATTAAGTAGCAATTTTATATTTATTTCTTATATTTAAATTATTATATACATATATAATTTTTGTAATTTAATTATTATGTCACTGGTTTGACCACGCAAACCGTGAATTGCTGGTCTTTCTGGTTCAATTTCTAGTTTAATTTTGAAAATATTGATTTGAAGTTAAGATATGATGTCCTTCAAACTATTCTTGTCTTTTTCTTTTTTCTCCTCATTTTTTTTTGGCGGTTTCATTTTTATGAGGATGTCATTTGGGTTCCTTAAAAGGGAAAAATCAGCAATTTATTTCGTTGAACATATGATGCTTTTTAAATTAAAAACTAATATATTATATTAACAATTTATCTTTAAGAGGTAGGGAGTAAAGTGTTAATAATTTTCTTAAACAAAGAGCTAGTGAATGAAATTCTCCTATTTTTATATAATAGAAGTGTTCGATCATATTTCCTAATTCCTATTTAACACTCTGACCCACGTTGCTTCATTTTCAATAACCGTATGCCAAAGTCTATTTCTCGATGAGAGTATTTTTGTTATATACTATATTTTAGGCCTAGATTAATCAGTTGAAAATCTCAGTCTTTTGCCTTCGCAACAAACCAAGATCCTCCGATCCATCAGGAAAGATTAATAATGACATATGTAATGTAACACTCTAACTTATCAATAATAAAAAAGATACAGAAGAAGATACATGCACTGTTATATTCCTCTGATGAAGATTCAATACGAATTAATGCAGCATTTTCGTGAGTTTTTCGTTCACTCCTAACTTCGCTCCTCAGAGGTAAGTTTTCACTCCTTCTCTCTTTGTTCTTCACTGTAGCAAATGCAGCATTTTCTGGGTTTTTCCCTCTTCTCATTTGATGCTTTCTGATTTTTCCGAAAACTGGAATTTCCTATTGGATTTTCTATCTCTTCTGGGTTTTTCTCTCTTCTCTCTTTAGTTGCCTTTTTTCCTATCAATTGGATTCCCTCTCTTTTTCAAATCAATGTGAATCTTCTAGCCTCTATCTAGGTATGAGCATCAGTCAGTTCAGTTTTGTTTGGTATCATAATATGTAAAACCGATCGACCAAACAATATTAAAAATATGAACTGAATCGAACCAAATAAAAATCAAACCAAAATTTGACAATTCGGTTTAGTTAGTTAATTCAATTTCGAGCTTCATGTTGGTTAAAATAAAATAAAGTAATTAAAACTAAATATAATTTATAAATTAATAAATTATATACACACATATTATAATTTGGTTAGTTTGATCTATTTGATTTTAAATTTTACTAACTAAATTGAACCGAAAAACCAAATAAACTGTATTAAATAACAAAAATTCAATTTAATTTTTGGTTTTGGTTTAGTTTTGCTCATCCCTACCTCTAGGTATTCGGACAAACTTTGTAAGATGTGTGGCACCTTCTCTACCTCATTTGGCTTTTGTATTTCTAGTGATGTGGTGGTTAGACGAATTTTTGTTCCTAGAAAAATCAAAAAGCACAAGAAGAGAGAAGAAAGAGAAGCCCAAAAAATATTGCATTTGCTATAATGAAAAACAAAGAGAGAATGAATGAAAACTTACTTGTAAGGAGCGAAGCTGAGAGTGAATGAGAAACTCATGAAAATGATGCATTTACTATATGTGCATTTGGTTTTCAATTTACATTTAATAAAAACGTGCTTGGAATATCCAGTTCTTCGTTATATTTAATAAAAGTACATTTTGGATGTAATTTAAATATGCTTTTGAGTGTTGCTCAAACAAGTCTTGTAAGGACTACTAAAGATGAAGAGAAGCTCGAAGAAATGAAAATGTTGGATAGAAGAGATGAAATGCATGTTTGGATTACTTTTTAACTGAGGTTGAAAAAAAGACTCCAACCTTAATTAAGATGAAAAAAGCTCATTAAAACACATTTGGATAAAAAAAAATTGAACGAGTGTTGATTGCGAAGCCAGATGTGAAAGCTTTTTTGACACACGTTATCAATGTTAGTGGGGCATTTATTATCAGATTCCTCTCTTTGGTCCTTATTCTCTCACCTTACTTACACATTCTTCCCTTTAATAAGTACCAACCATTATTTCCAACACCCTTGTTGCTAACTATATCAATGCTAGCCATAGTTGCCATCCATGGAGGTTGAGGAACATCGTGCCTGCTCCATCCTTATTGTTTCCTTCATTCATTGAGGCAGAGAGGGAGATGATAGACGCATGATGGTGGGAGAGGGAGATGACGCTGGTGGTAGGGAGAGGGAAAATAAGATGGAGGGAAGGAGTGTAGAAGGGAGATGAAGTTAAAAGGGTTTGTGGAGACTCTACAAGATAAGGAAGAAAAAAAAGGCTTAAAGGAAAAGAGAAGGAGGAGGAGGAGGAATAAAATGCTCATTGTGACACTGTGTATGTTTTTGAGTGTGTACGTGCGGCGCTCAACTTGGAGGAGGAAGAAAAAGATTGTACTGTGTTTTATTATTTTATATTTACTTATAATTTATGAATTAAGACAAAGTAAAGGAAGAAAAACAATTAGAATTTTGTTTCATTATTTA